TTGGCCCAGGATCGGACATTGTTTCGTTCTGCTGTGCATGGGGTCGCTATGAGTCGGTTCCGACTCGATGGCACCTGATGACAACAACAACAACAATGACAGCATAAATATTTTCCTTTGCTTTTACATGTGCTTCCTAATTATTGTTTGTAGATTAATGTCAATCACTAAACTGTTTCTCTATTACTATTTTTTAAAGTGGTCTTTGAGTTTGAACTTAAAAAAGCAACAACAACTATGTTAATAAGCTTTTTTCAGATAAACAGGTTTATTTTTTTTTTTTAGGATAGATTCCTTCTAGGGCACCCTAAGGGGTTGGAGAGGTGCCATATTGCCTTCTACATGGAATCTGCATCAATATTGTACAAAGGTCGCAGTTTGAGCACATTTCACCAGCAGTAGGCATTACCATTATAAATAAGGGTCTGTTCCTGGCCCTTTTTAGGGTTTTGAGGAGATGGAGTGGTGAACTAGGGGAGATTGAAGCAGGGGTGCCTGGGAGGGAGACTTGAGGCAGGCGAGTGAGAGGGCCATTGAGCAGCCTGGGCAGAGCCACTGAGGAGAATGTGCTCAACATTCACGGTGCTGCTTCCACAGAAAAGCGCTCTCATGTTCTTGAATCAAGATCAGAAGTCTGTCCTAGGCAGCAACCGTTCTCCCTTTGCAAAAGATTTTTCAGTCCTAACATTTAAATGCGTATGTTTGAAACTTCTGCTCTAAAGGCTTCTGTTTCCGGCAGAAAGTGATTCCTTCTAGGACCAGCTCCAAGGAACTGTGTGCTCTCAGGAGGGACCCCACTGGGGGTGCATAGGAGCTCTCCTGGGGCGCAGGGGCCTAGGACCTGCCGTCCACACAGCGGGTAATCTGGGGCAGATCAGTCACCTCTTCTGAAGTCTGATTCATGATCCCATCCTGCTTACTGAGCTATTGAGATTTCAAATGTGGAAGTGCTTTGTAAATTATGAAATGTCACGCCGATCATCTTGTACAGCATCTATTGATTTGGTCTCTTTACAGTGTTTAAAATTTATCACACCCCAAATCCTACTTTGGGTCACTCTCCTCTCTCACCTGGGTTATGCGACAGCCTTCAGACTTGCCCCTCTGGTCCAAAGCACAGATCTCATCTTTACATTGCCGTTGCCTCCAGCACTTGAGGGCTCCCCCACAGTCCTCCCACTTGCAGCTCGCATCCTGCTGTGTGGCCTTCTCTCCTTGCAGCCCTTGCTGTTTCTCCCTGAATGGGTGACGATGGCTCACTCCTCTATGCCTTTGTTCCTGTTGTTTCTTCTGCCTGCCACTTCTCTCCCTCTTCTTCCCGTGGTGCAGGTGTTAGTTAGCCTGTGGGAAATCAAGTCAGGGCTTTCATAATCCCTGTGTTTCCCTCCTTCCACCATGGCCATGCAGAAATGAAACTTGTTTACTTGTCTGGGCAAGAGGATGCTTCTAGGGGAAGGGGCCTGGTCTCTCTGTATGCCCCGTGTCTTGTGGGAGAGACCCTGTGAAGAGCTGAATAAATGCTTGTGTCTGTCAGAATAAATAAGTGTGTGTGTGTGTGTGTGTATTCTCATTCAGTTCTCACTCAAATGCTGACTACAGTGAAATGAATTTTTTTTCTGTCAAGTCTCCCTCTGCCCCCCTGCTTTTTAATGTGTAGTAAATATCTAATATATTTACTTCAATTGTGTAGTAAATATCCAGTATATTTACTATAATTGTACATGCATGTAACAAAACATTTTCCATTTTAATGTTTTTTTTGCATGTACAGTTCAGTGGCATTAATTACCATCTCTGTCATTGTCCAACTCTAACCACTGTCCCTAATGGAAGGGGTACTTTTTTTTTTATCATTGAATGGGACTGTTAGGTAAGCGCTGGACTTCTGACTTCAAGGTTGGTGGTTCAAACGCACCAATGATTCCTTGGAAAACCTATTCGGGGTCACTGAGTTGAAACCAACTTGTCAGCACATAAACAACATTAGAAGCTCAGCGTTCCCTTAAGCAGTGCGTTCTACCACCACAGCCCTGACTCTGGGTTGTTTTTTTTTTAAAGTTTTTTTTGTGGATTGAGTAAAAGTTTACAGGGCAGTTCATGAGTTTTACATTCATCAAATCATATGCTTTGTTTCATTACAATGATTATAATCCCTTCCATGTACCATCAGTTAACAGTATTTCTCTCTGTTCATTTTAGCTCTTTTTTTTTTTTTTTAAACACTCAGGCATATCTAATAATTTACACCACCAAAGGGCACATTTTGCAAGTCTGCCTCCTGGCTGCCAGCACTCAGTCCCTATAATCCCATGAGTTCAGAGTTCTCAGGTGCTCATTCTCTCCATGTCCCCATCTCTGCCTCCATCTCAGGTGTCCCTGCTTTCTGGATAGGGTCCTGCATTCCACCTTTGCTCTTTTCCCTTGATGGTCCTACAGTCTGCTGTTTCTGGACTGTAAGATTAACTACTCCCCCATTTTTGTTATAGAACTTCTACCTTTTCAATTGTGACAGTTGCAATTAGTCATGGTAATAATTACTATCAAATCATAACAATCTTATCCCCATCTCTCTACACCAGACCCATCTAGACAAGATGAAAACTCTTCAGTGGGGACTCTTATCTTTCCGCACACACTTTTAAACTATTGTTGTTGTTAAGTGCCGTCGAGTCGGTTCCCACCCATAGCGACCCTGTACAGGGTTTCTGAGGGTGTAAATCCTTACGGGAGTAGAAAGCCTCATCTTTCTCCCGCGGAGCC